CATGTTACAGTGCACAGGCGTTGTTACATTACAGTAGTGTCATGTTACAGTCCGCAGGCGTTGTGTTACATTACAGTAGTGTCGTGTTACAGTCCACAGGCGTTGTGGTACATTACAGTAGTGTCGTGTTACAGTCCACAGGCTGTGTGTTACATTACAGTAGTGTCGTGTTACAGTCCGCAGGCGTTGTGTTACGTTACAGTAGTGTCGTGTTACAGTCCGCAGGCGTTGTGTTACATTACAGTAGTGTCGTGTTACAGTCCGCAGGCGTTGTGTTACATTACAGTAGTGTCGTGTTACAGTCCGCAGGCGTTGTGTTACATTACAGTAGTGTCGTGTTACAGTCCGCAGGCGTTGTGTTACATTACAGTAGTGTCGTGTTACAGTCTGCAGGCGTTGTGTTACATTACAGTAGTGTCGTGTTACAGTCTGCAGGTGGTGTGTTACATTACAGTAGTGTCGTGTTACAGTCCGCAGGCGTTGTGTTACATTACAGTCGTGTCGTGTTACAGTCCGCAGGCGTTGTGTTACGTTACAGTAGTGTCGTGTTACAGTCCGCAGGCATTGTGTTACATTACAGTAGTGTCGTGTTACAGTCTGCAGGCGTTGTGTTACATTACAGTAGTGTCGTGTTACAGTTCGCAGGTGTTGTGTTACTTTACAGTTGTGTCGTGTTACAGTCCGCAGGTGTTGTGTTACATTACAGTAGTGTCGTGTTACAGTCCGCAGGCGTTGTGTTACATTACAGTAGTGTCGTGTTACAGTCCGCAGGCGTTGTGTTACATTACAGTAGTGTCGTGTTACAGTCCGTATGTTGTTACATTACAGTAGTGTCGTGTTACAGTCCGCAGGTGTTGTGTTACATTACAGTAGTGTCGTGTTACAGTCCGCAGGCGGTGTGTTACGTTACAGTAGTGTCGTGTTACAGTCCGCAGGTGTTGTGTTACGTTACAGTAGTGTCGTGTTACAGTCCGCAGGTGTTGTGTTACGTTACAGTAGTGTCGTGTTACAGTCCGCAGGTGTTGTGTTACGTTACAGTAGTGTCGTGTTACAGTCCGCAGGTGTTGTGTTACGTTGCTGTAGTGTCGTGTTACAGTCCGCAGGTGTTGTGTTATGTTACAGTAGTGTCGTGTTACAGTCCGCAGGTGTTGTGTTACGTTACAGTAGTGTCGTGTTACAGTCCGCAGGTGTTTTGCATTACAGTAGTGTCGTGTTACAGTCCGCAGGTGTTGTGTTACATTACAGTAGTGTCGTGTTACAGTCCGCAGGCTGTGTGTTACATTACAGTAGTGTCGTGTTACAGTCCGCAGGCTGTGTTACATTACAGTAGTGTCGTGTTACAGTCCGCAGGTGTTGTGTTACATTACAGTAGTGTCGTGTTACAGTCCGCAGGTGTTGTGTTACGTTACAGTAGTGTCGTGTTACAGTCCGCAGGCGTTGTGTTACATTACAGTAGTGTCGTGTTACATTCCGCAGGTGTTGTGTTACGTTACAGTAGTGTCGTGTTACAGTCCGCAGGTGTTGTGTTACATTACAGTAGTGTCGTGTTACAGTCCGCAGGTGTTGTGTTACGTTACAGTAGTGTCGTGTTATAGTACAGAGGTATTGTATTACGTATTTACTAATCGTGTAGCGTTACAGTAGTGTCGTGTTATAGTACAGAGACATTATGTTACATAGTGTCCTGTAACCCGCTGTGTCCTTGTTGTGTTTACAGCGGTGTGTAAACATGTCTATCGTGTTTGTTTGTAAGCCAATCTGTTTTCCATTGCAGACACGTCCGTAAGAAACACCCCGGTGTCTTGTTTACACTCTTCAATAAAAAGACTCTCAGTTTTATCTCCTAAGCTCTAGGAGATAAAATATTTCTCAGCAATTCCTCTACCTGCTATGAATAGACATATATCTCTTAATTTAATTTCTGTTGGGGATTAAGAGATATTTTCTTAAACCCTGAGAAATACTTCAATAGTGTGGGTCTGTTTATTCTTTCTGGCGAAGTAAAATAAGTCGTACAATATCATGTTTATTGTCGTGCATTAAAGTGAAGATCTCTGGCATAAGTTTGTATATTACTCTTGAGAACAAAAGAAATATCTCACAACTTACTTGGTATCAGTGATCTTGTATGCAACGATTTTCTCTCTGTTATTGTTGTCGATCTAAAAATGTCACGAGTGCATTGCATATCTTCATAAAAAAAAATGTTTGCTTAAATTTTTTATTGCAAATGGTAAAAGAAATCGTAAATTTAATGATTGAAGTTTGATAATCTTTAGAAACTCCTAACTATTTTTTTTCTAGATTGTATATTGTTAAAAGACTGGTATGTTCATTTATATCACATAGTCTCCAAAGATTCGTTGGTAATTAATCCATTTAATCTTTTAACCCGTTCCAATGTTATTTAACTCTTTCCAGTATTATTTCATGTGTTTTAATCACATTTAAACGCATTTTAATAATATTTAACGAGTTTTAATAATATTCAATGCTTTTTGATAATATTTAACTAGTTTCAATAATATTTAACGAGTTCCAATAATATTTTTCATACGCGCTATCTTGGTCTAGCTTGCAACTCAACAAGCAGAGAGATTTCAGGGCAGTTTTTCTCGTTTCTCGTTATTCTCTGGGCGGCAGACAGGAAGGAGCGCCTCCCCTTGTGTAAGATATTTAGGAGGGCAGGTTAACTCTGCTCTCCCGCCCGCCATGACTACTACAACTCAACACCAGACACCGAAGTCTCCTACAGCGCCTCAAATATATCCAAGAGTCGGACATTTATTGAATATTAGATTTCTACCTTATTTTACCTCTATTTTACTTTAATATTAACTAACTATTTGTTATTTTTATTGTTGTTTTTCATATTTGGACTTCTTAGGGATTATGGTGGGTTTTATTAGATTATGGGATTCTGTTCGGTGTGAAAATATGACGGATATAGTGTAAACAAAATATTTTCAGTTGGATGGAGAACCACACGTGCTATCTTTTCAATGTTTTCAAGAATATAAATTTTTGGGGGATATGATAATTCTTCTGGCATTATGAGAAAGAGAGAGAGATGTAGAGAAAGATAGAGACCGAAAGACAGACAGAGACCGAAAGACAGACAGAGAGAGACAGACAAACAGACAGAGAATGTATTACTGCAGGTCACTAACAGAAACCTGAACTGGAAGAGTAACCTGGAATTGGTACTATAACTGCGAGGCTTCCATTATCAGGGTTATTTTAATAATAATAATAATAATAATAATAATAATAATAATAATAATAATAATAATATCATCATAATAACAATAATAATAATACCGAACAAAGAAACGAAACAGACAAAAATTACACAAAGGAAAATGAAAAATGAAGAGAGGAGGAAGAACAGGAATTACAAAATGAATAATTAAACACAGTAATTATCTGAACCTTGAATAAACTAAGGAAGGAGAAAAAGAAATGAAGATAAAAACGGCGAGAGAGAGAGAGTGTGTAAGAAAGTAAAGAGAATAAGAGCGAATAAAATACGTATATGTATAGGATAAAGGCAATAAATAAAGGAAATAAAAGAAATATAGAAAAACAGAGGTAATAAATGTGTTGACGTAGAGAATAACAATAAACAAAGGAAGTAAAAGAGAATACACAATAAGAGGTGAAAAATGCGTCGTGTTGAAGATTATAGAAGAGGGACAACAGAGAATGAGGGGGGGAGGTGATGAGAGGAAGGAGAGAATGGACGTGATAATGTGTGGTAGTTGAGGGAAGGGAGAGAAATGAAAGTGAGAGAGGGTGTACGGGAGGGGACAGGGAGAGTGAGATCGAATGTTTAGGAAGGGTGAGGTGTGTTGCATTCTCCTCTCCTCTTCCTCCTCTCCTCTTCCTCTTCACTCCTCTCCTCTCCTCTTCCTCTCTCTCTCCTTCTCTTCCGCACATGATAACCTGTATTATGTTGGTTCATTACATGGGCCAGACTGTGGTGAAACCTCCACTTTCTCCTCTCACCCTCCCTCCCTCTCCTCCCCCCTTCTCTCACCTCCCCTCCCTCTCCTCCCCCCTTCTCCTCCCTCCCTCGCCCTCTCCTCTTCCTCTCATTCACTCTTCCTCCTCTCTTCCCTTTCTTCCTCCTCCTCCCTCCCTCTTTTTACCTCGTCTCTCTTCTTTAGCAGGAAAGCAGTGGCGTAAATGTACGAGGAGGAGGAGGAGGAGGGGGAGGGGGAGGGGGGAAGAATGGTAGGAAGGAGGAGGGAGAAGAGAGGAGGAAGAATGAGGAGGGAGAGGAGGAAAGAGAAAGAGAGTAAGATGTAAAGGAATAAAACAGGACTAGAAGAAAGGAATAAATGTAAAGAAAGAAAAAGACAAAGAGAAAGAGATAAAGAAATAAAAACCAGAGATGAAAGAGAGAGAGAGATAGAGATAAAAGGGGGGTGAGATAAAAAAGAGAGAGAAGAGATGAGGATAAAAAGGAGATAGAGATAAAAGAGATGAGCAAAGAGATAAAAAGAGATGGTAAAAAGAGATAGACATAAAAGAGATGATAGAGATAAAAAGAGATGAGAGATAAAGAGATTGAATAGGGGAGATAAAGGGGAGATGGACAAAGGGAGATGAGACATAGGGAGATGGGGATAAAAGGAGATGGGGATAGGGGATGGACATAGGGGATGGGATAAAGGGGATGGGGAATAAGGGGGATTGGGGCGCAAGGGGATGGGGATAAAGGGGGATGGGGATAAAGGGGATGGGGATAAAAGGGAGACAGAGCACATCAATACAAAATGCCAAACTCTGCCCAAAATCTGTCCCTGAAGCATGGCCTTAAGTGCCTCCTCTCACTTAATTTCTCGGGCTTGTTCTGAAAAAAATAAAATCCATCAAAAATAGATCCTGGTACGTCACTTCCGGTAAATACATTTGTTTGTTTGTTTACTTTTTGTTTTTATTGTATGGTGCTGATAGAGGCGGGGGGTACTGATAGAGGCGGGAAGGCGTGGTACCTGATGAGGGAGGCGGGGAAGGCGTGGGTACTGATAGAGCCGGGGAAGGCGTGGGTGCCTGATGGGGGCGGGGAAGGCGTGGGTGCTGGTGGGTGCTGATGGGGGCGGGGAAGGCGTGGGTGCTGATGGGGGCGGGGGGGCGTGGGTGCTGGTGGGCAGGGAAGGCGTGGGTACTGATGGGGCGGGGAAGGCGTGGGTGCTGGTGAAGGGCGGGCTGATGGGGCGGGGAGGCGTGGGTACTGATGGGGCGGGAGGGCGTGGGTACTGATGGGGGCGGGGAGGCGTGGGCTGATAGGGGGAGGTGGGTGCGTCTGGGGGCAGGGCGTGGGTGACTGATGGGGCGGGTAGAGGTACTGGTGGGGGCGGGAAGGCGTGGGTGCCTGATGGGGCGGGGGAGGCGTGGGTACTGGTGGGGAGGCGGGGAGGCTGGGTGCTGATGAGGGCGGGGGCGTGGGTACTGGTAGAGGCGGGGAGGCGTGGGTGCTGATGGGGGCGGGGAGGCGTGGGTGCTGATGGGGCGGGGAAGGCGTGGGGTTTGATGGGGCGGGGAGGCGTGGGTGCTGGTAGGCGGGGAAGGCGTGGGTGACTGATGGGGGCGGGAAGGTGTGGGTGCTGATAGAGGCGGGGATGGTGTGGGGGCTGGAGGGGCGGGGGCGTGGGTGCTGATAGAGGCGGGAGCGTGGGTGTAGTGATAGAGGCGGGGAAGGCGTGGGTGCTGATAGAGCGGGGAAGGCGTGGGTGCTGATGGAGGCGGGGAAGGGCGGTGCTGATGAGGCGGGAAGGCGTGGGTGCTGATGGGGCGGGAAGGCGTGGGTGCATGATAGGGGCGGGGGAGGCGTGGGCTGATAGAGGGGCGGGGAAGGCGTGGGTGCTGATGGGGCGGGGGAGGGTGCTGATGGGGCGGGGGAAGGCGTGGTGCTGATGTGGGGGCGGGGAGGGGCGTGGGTACTGATGGGGCGGGGAAGGGCGTGGGTGCTGATGGGGCGGGGAAGGCGTGGGTGCGATGAGGGCGGGGGAAGGCGTGGTGCTGATGGGCAGGCGTGGGTGCTGATGGGGCGGGAAGGCTGGGTTGCTGGGGCCAGGGAGAGAGGCGTGGGTGCACTGATAGAGGCAGGGGAAGGCGTGGGTGCTGGTAGGGGCGGGAGGCGTGGGTGCTGAGGCGGGGAAGGCGTGGTGCAGTGAGGCGGGGCTGGTACTGATAGAGGCCGGGGAAGGCGAGCCGGGAGAGGGTGTGGGTGAGGGCGGGGAGAGGCGTGGGTGCAGTGGGGACAGGGGAGGCGTGGGTAGCTGATGGGGCGGGGAAGGCGTGGGTGCTGATGGGGGCCGGGAAGGGCGTGGGTGCTGATGGGGGCGGGGGAAGGCGTGGGTACTGCTGATGGGGGCGGGGAGGGCGTGGGTGCTGATAGGGGGCGGGAAGGTGTGGGTACTGATGGGGCGGGGGAGGCGTGTGGGTGTGATGGGGCGGGGAGGGGTGGGTAGTGATAGAGGCGGGGGGAAGGCGTGGGTACTGGTAGAGGCGGGGAAGGCGTGGGTGCACTGATGGGGGCGGGGAGGCGTGGGTGCACTGATGGGGGCGGGGGAAGGCGTGGGTGCTGATGGGGCGGGAAGGCGTGGGTACTTATAGAGGCGGGAAGGCGTGGGTGCTGATGGGGCGGGGAAGGCGTGGGTGCTGATAGGGGGGGGAAGGCGTGGGTGCCTGATGGGGCGGGGAGGCGTGGGTACTGATGGGGGCGGGGAAGGCGTGGGTGCTGATGGGGCGGGGAAGGCGTGGGTGCTGATGGGGGCGGGAGGCGTGGGTGCGATGGGGGGCGGGGCTGGGTACTGATAGGCGGGGAAGGCGTGGGTACTGATAGAGGCGGGGAAGGCGTGGGTACTGATAGGGGCGGGAAGGCGTGGGTACTGATAGGCGGGGGAAGGTGTGGTACTGATAAGGCGGGGAAGGTGTGGGTGCTAGAGAGCGGGGGAAGGTGTGGGTACTGGTGAGGGGCAGGAGGTGTGGGTGCTGATGGGAGGCGGGGAAGGTGTGGGTACTAGTAGAGGCGGAAGGCGTTGACTGATGAGAGGCGGGGAAGGCGTGGTGACTGGGAGGCGGGGAAGGTGTGGGTACTGATAGAGGCGGGGAAGGCGTGGGTACTGGTGGGGGCGGGGAGGCGTGGGTGCTGATAAGGCGGGGAAGGCGTGGGTGACTGATGGGGGCGGGGAGGTGTGGAGATGGGGAGATGGGGGCGGGGGGTGGGTACTGATGGGGCAGGGGAGGCGTGGGTGCTGATGGGGGCGGGAAGGCGTGGTGCTGATGGGGGCGGGGAAGGCGTGGGTACTGATGGGGGGCGGGGAAGGCGTGGGTACTGATAGAGGCGGGGGAAGGCGTGGCACTGATAGAGGCGGGAAGGCGTGGGTACTGATAGAGGCGGGGAAGCGTGGCACTGGATAGAGGCGGAAGGCGGGTACTGATAGAGGGCGGGGAAGGCGTGGGTACTGATAGAGGCGGGGAAGGCGTGGGTACTGATAGAGGCGGGGGAAGTGGGTACTGATAGAGGCGGGGAAGGCGGGTACTGATAGAGGCGGGGAAGGTGGGTACTGATAGAGGCGGAGAAGGCGGGTACTGATAGAGGCGGGGAAGGTGTGGGTACTGATAGAGGCGGGGAAGGTGTGGGTACTGGTAGAGGCGGGGGAAGGTGGGTACTGGTAGAGGCGGGGAAGGTGGGGGTACTATAGAGGCGGGAAGGCGTGGGTACTGGTAGAGGCGGGGAAGGCGGGTACTGATAGAGGCGGGGAAGGTGGGTACTGATAGAGGCGGGGTTGTGGGTGCTGCAGAGGCGGGGAAGGTGGGTACCGGATAGAGGCGGGGAAGGTGTGGCTGACAGAGGGGAAGGCGTGGGCACTGGATAGAAGGGAAGGCGGGTACTGATAGAGGCGGGGAAGGTGTGGATAGAGATAGAGGCGGGTGGGTACTGATAGAGGGAAGGCGTGGGTACTGAGAGGCGGGGAAGGCGTGGGTACTGATAGAGGCGGGGAAGGTGTGGGTACTGATAGAGGCGAAGGCGTGGGTACAGAGGCGGGGAAGGTGTGGGGCCTGGATAGAGGCGGGGGAAGGCGTGGGTGCTGATAGAGGCGGGAAGGTGTGGGTACTGATAGAGTGAAGGTGTGGGTACTGGTAGAGCGGGAAGGTGGGTACTGATAGAGGCGGGGGAAGGTGGGTACATAGAGGCGGGGAAGGCGTGGGTACTGATAGAGGCGTGGGGGCGGGGTACTGATAGAGGCGGGGAAGGTGTGGGTACTGATAGAGGGGAAGGCGTGGCACTGTGCAGAGGCGGGGGAAGGCGTGGGTAATGAGGAGAGGGAAGGCGTGGGTACTGATAGAGGCGGGAAGGTGTGTGGGTACTGATAGAGGCGGGGGAAGGCGTGGGTACTGATAGAGGCAGAAGAGAAGAGGTGGGGGGTAACATAGAGGCGGGGAAGGTGTGGGTACGATAGAGGCGGGAAGTGTGGTACTGATAGAGGCGGGGAAGGTGGGTAATGATAGAGGCGGAAGGTGGGTACTGATAGAGGCGAAGGTGGGTACTGATAGAGGCGGGGAAGGTGGGTACTGACAGAGGCGGGAAGGCGTGGGGTACTGATAGAGGAAGGGAAGGCGGTACTGGATAGAGGCGGGGAAGGCGGGTACTGATAGAGGCGGGGAAGGTGTGGGTACTGATAGAGGCGGGAAGGTGTGGGTACTGATAGAGGCGGGGAAGGTTAACTGACAGAGGCGGGGAAGGATGGGCACTGATAGAGGTGTGGGTACTGGATAGAGGCGGGGAAGGTGTGGGTACTAATATAGAGGCGGGGAAGGTGTGGGTACTGGTAGAGGCGGGTGGGTACTGACAGAGGCGGGGAAGGCGGGGTACTGATAGAGGCGGGGAAGGTGTGGGTACTGATAGAGGCGGGGAAGGCGTGGTACTGATAGAGGCGGAAGGTGAGATAGAGAAGAGGGGAAGGCGTGGGTACTGATAGAGGCGGGAAAGGCGGGTACTGATAGAGGCGGGAAGGCGTGGGTACTGATAGAGGCGGGAAGGCGTGGGTACTGATAGAGGCGGGGGAAGGCGTGGGTACTGATAGAGGGGGAAGGTGTAGATAGAGATAGAGGCGGGGAAGGCGTGGGTACTGATAGAGGCGGGGAAGGCGTGGGTACTGATAGAGGCGGGAAGGCGTGGATACTGATAGAGGAAGACGGGTGGCCTGATAGAGGCGGGGAAGGTGGGTACTGATAGAGGCGGGAAGGCGTGGGTACTGATAGAGGCGGGGAAGGTGTGGGTACTGATAGAGGCGGGGAAGGGTACTGATAGAGGCGGGGAAGGCGTGGGTACTGATAGAGGCGGGGAAGGTGGGTACTGATAGAGGCGGGGAAGGCGGGTACTGATAGAGGCGGGGAAGGTGTGGGTACTGAGAGGCGGGGAAGGTGTGGGTACTGGTAGAGGCGGGAAGGTGTGGGTACTGTAGAGGCGGGGGAAGGTGTGGGTACTGGTAGAGGCGGGGAAGGCGGGTACTGATAGAGGCGGGGGGGTGGGTACGATAGAGGGGGGGAAGGCGTGGGTACTGATAGAGGGGGGAAGGTGTGGGTACTGGTAGAGGCGGGAAGGTGTGGGTACTGGTAGAGGCGGGAAGGTGTGGGTACTGCAGAGGCGGGAAGGCGTGGGTACTGATAGAGGCGAAGGGGTACTAATAGAGGCGGGAAGGCGTGTACTGATAGAGGCGGAAGGCGTGGGTACTGATAGAGGCGGGGAAGGCGTGGGTACTGATAGAGGGCGGGGAAGGCGGGTACTGATAGAGGTGAAGGCGTGGGTACTGATAGAGGCGGGGAAGGCGTGGGTACTGATAGAGGCGGGGAAGGCGTGGGTACTGATAGAGGTGAAGGTACTGATAGAGGCGGAGAAGGCGTGGGTACTGATATAGAGGCGGGAAGGCGGGTACTGATAGAGGCGAGGGAAGGCGTGGGTACTGATAGAGGCGAAGGTGGGTACTGATAGAGGCGGGAAGGTGTGGGTACTGAAGAGGCGGGAAGGTGTGGGTACTGTAGAGGCGGGAAGGTGGGTACATAGAGGCGGGGAAGGCGTGGGTACCAGAGGCGGGGAACGTGGCACTGATAGAGGCGGAAGGTGTGGGTACTGATAGAGGCGGGAAGGCGGGGTACTGGTAGAGGCGGGAAGGCGTGATACTGATAGAGGCGAAGGTGTGGTACTGATAGAGGCGGAAGGCGTGGGTACTGATAGAGGCGGGGAAGGCGTGGGTACTGATAGAGGCGGGGAAGGTAGATAGAGATAGGAGTGGGGAAGGCGTGGGTACTGATAGAGGCGAAGGCGTGGATACTGATAGAGGGCGGGAAGGCGTGGTACTGATAGAGGCGGGGAAGGTGGGTACTGATAGAGGCGGGAAGGCGTGGGTACTGATAGAGGCGGGGGAAGGCGGGTACTGATAGAGGCGGGGGAAGTGTGGGTACTGATAGAGGCGGGGAAGGTGGGTACTGGAGAGGCGAAGGTGTGGGTACTGGTAGAGGCGGGAAGGTGGGTACTGGTAGAGGCGGGGAAGGTGTGGGTACTATAGAGGCGGGGAAGGCGTGGGCACTGTAGAGGCGGGGAAGGGTGGGTACTGATAGAGGCGGGAAGGTGGGGTACTGATAGAGGCGGGAAGGTGTACTGGTAGAGGCGGGGAAGTGGATACTGATAGAGGGGGAAGGTGGGTACTGGATAGAGGCGGGGAAGGTGTGGGTACTGATAGAGGCGGGGAAGGCGTGGGTACTGATAGAGGCGAAGGTGTAGACAGAGATAGAGGCGGGGAAGGTGTGTACTACAGAGGCGGGAAGGCGGATACTGATAGAGGCGGGAAGGCGTGGTACTGGATAGAGGCGGGGAAGGTGGGTAATGATAGAGGCGGGGAAGGCGGGTACTGATAGAGGCGGGGAAGGCGTGGGTACTGACAGAGGCGGGGAAGGTGTGGGTACTGATAGAGGAAGGCGTGTGGGTACTGGATAGAGGCGGAAGGCGTGGGTACTGATAGAGGCGGGAAGGCGTGGGTCTGATAGAGGCGGGGAAGGTGTGGGTACTGATAGAGGCGGGGAAGGTGGGTACTGATAGAGGCGGGAAGGTGTGGGTACTGATAGAGGCGGGGAAGGCGTGGGTACTGATAGAGGCGGGGAAGGCGGGTACTGGATAGAGGCGGGAAGGTGGGTACCAATAGAGGCGGGGAAGGTGTGGGTACTGGTAGAGGGCGGGGAAGGTGTGGGTACTGATAGAGGCGGGGAAGGCGTGGTACTGATAGAGGCGGGGAAGGTGTGGGTACTATTGAGAGGCGGGAAGGTGTGGGTACTGATAGAGGCGGGGGTGTGGGTACTGATAGAGGCGGGAAGGGGTGGGGACCATTCTCTTTAACGCAGACAGACAGACAGACAGACAGACACTCGCACCGCCAGACTAGATCTCCAGATGAAATAGTAATGATGCTGATAACCTGGACAGTAGGTGAGGCAGTAGTAGAGGTAGTAGGTGAGGCAGTCGTAGGTAGGTGAGGCAGTAGGTGAAGGAGGAAAAATTACCTCCACCTAGTATGTAACTACCCGATTTGTTAATAAACGAGAATGCCCCTTGATGTTGTTTCCCCCTCCTTTATTCTCCTACTTCCTTTCATCACCTCTTCTGTGTCTCTTCTATTGTATCTCTGTAGTTAACTTAATTCCTTGTATCTAATCTTTCTGCTGTTCCTCGTTTAGTGTGTTGTTTTCAATTATTCCTGTTTATCACCCCTGTGTTGGTTTGTTTGTTTTCCTTCTTCTTTCTCTCACCCCCACCTTGTCTTCATCAGCCTCAACGCTTCACTTTCACTATAAATTAATTTATTAGGTCGACGCTTTCACCAAGATAGAAAGTTTACTCTTACTCAAGATGAGAAACTCCCTTTCCTTCACCCCAAAAATAAAGTTTCTTATCTTACTTTCACCCCAAAAATAAAGCCGATCTTACTTTCACCCCACCCCGCAAAAAATTAAGCTGATCTTACATACCACCAAAGAACTTCCATCTTTCTTCATTCTGTAGACACACGACTGACCACCACCAAACACTGACTGACTCACCACTCAACACTGACCGTTCCATCATCCAAACACCGACTGACTCACCCATCTAAATGGACTTACTCCACCCACCAAACACTGACTGACTCACCCACTAAACACTGACTGATTCACCCAAAAGAAACTCCCATGACTTTCACCCCAAAATGCTTCTTCCCACAAACAATTCTCCCTTTCAAATGAATTTCATACTGTGACCTAAAATAACTTTCTTATTTGACTCTAAAATGAATTTTTACTATTGCTTCCTATTTTATGACTGTCACCCCCAAACACCGACTGACTCACCCACCCAAACACTGACTGACTCACCAATCAAATACACTGACTGCTCCACCTCAAACATCCCGACTGACTCACCACCAAACACCGACCGACTGACTCACCCAAACATCGATGACTCACCGTTTGTGACTGATCACCACCAAACACTGACTGACCACTCACCAAACACTGACTGACTGATTCACCACTAAACACTGACTGACTCACCACTCAAACACTGACTGACTGCACCCACCAAAACACTGACTGACTCACCCACTCAAACACTGACTGACTCCACCCACCAAACACTGACTGAGCTCACCCACCAAACACTGACTGACCACCCACCCACACTGACTGACTCACCACCAACACTGACTGACTCACCCACCAAACACTGACTGACTCACCCACCAAACACTGACTGACTCACCACAAACACTGACTGACTCACACCCAAACACTGCTGACTCACCCCACCCAAACACTGACTGCTCACCCACCAAACACTGACTGACTCACCCACAAACACTGACTGACTCACCCACCAAACACTGACTGACTCACCCACAAACACTGACTGACTCACCCACCAAACACTGACTGCTCACCCACAAACACTGACTGACTCACCACCAAAACACTGACTGACTCACCCACCAAACACTGACTGACTCACCTAAAACACTGACTGACTCACCACCAAACACGGACTGACTCACCCACCAAACACGGACTGACTCACCCACCAAACACTGACTAGCTCACCCACCCAAACACTGACCGCTCACCCACCAAACACGACTGACTCACCACAAACACTGACTGACTCACCCACCCAAACACTGACTGACTCACCACAAACACTGACTGCTCACCCACCACCAAACACTGACTGACTCACCCACCCACCAAACACTGACTGACTCACCCACCCACAAAAACCTGTTGACTCACCCACCCACAAACACTGTGACTCACCCACCACCAAACACTGACTCTCACCCACCCACCAAACACTGTCTGACTCACCCACCCAACATGACTGACTCACCCACCAAACACTGACCACTCACCCACCAAACTTGACTGACTCACCCACCCAAACACTGACTGACTCTACCAAACACTGACTGACTCACCCACCAAAACACTGACTGACTCACCCACCAAAACACTGACTGACTCACCCACCAAAACAACTGACTCACCCACCAAAACACTGACTGACTCACCCACAAAACACTGACTGACTCACCCACCAAAACACTGACTGACTCACCTCAAGCCTGACTGGCTCACCCACCAAAACACTGACTGGCTCACCACCAAAACACTGACTGGCTCACCCACCAAAACACTGACTGACTCACCCACCAACACTGACTGACTCACCCACCAAAACACTGACTGACTCACCCACCAAACACTGACTGACTCACCCACCCAAACACTGACTGACTCACCCACCAAACACTGACTGACTCACCCACCCAAACACTGACTGACTCACCCACCCAAACACTGACTGACTCACCCACAAACACTGACGCTCACCCAAACACTGACTGACTCACCCACAAACACTGACTGACTCACACCAAACACACTGACTCACCCACCCAAACACTGACCACCACCAAACACTGACTGACTCACCCACCCAAACACTGACTGACTCACCCACCCAAACACTGACTGACTCACCCACCCAAACACTGACTGACTCACCCACTCAAACACTGACTGACTCACCCACCCAAACACTGACTGACTCACTCACCCACCCAAACACTGACTGTCTCACCCACCCAACACTGACTGACTGACTCACCCACCCAAACACTGACTGACTCCACCACTAACACTGACTGACTGACTCACCCACCCAAACACTGACTGACTCACCCACCCAAACACTGACTCACTCACCCACCCAAACACTGCTCACTCACCCACCCAAACACTGACTCACTCACCACCCAAACACTGACTCACTCACCCCACCCAAACAGCTCACTCACCCACCCAAACACTGACTCACTCACCCACCCAAACACTGACTGACTCACCCACCCAAACACTGACTCCTCACCCACCCAAACTGCACAAACACTGACTCACTCACACCCAAACACTGACTGACTCACCCATCCAAACACTGACTCACCCACCCAAACACTGACTGACTCACCCACCCAAACACTGACTGACTCACCCACCCAAACACTGACTGACTCACCCACCCAAACACTGACTGACTCACCCACCCAAACATGACTGACTCACACAAACACTGACTGACTCACCCACCCAAACACTGGCTGACTCACCCACCCCAAACACTGGCTGACTCACCCACCCAAACACTGACTGACTCACTCACCCAAACACTGACTGACTCACCCACCCAAACACTGACTGACGCTCACCCACCCAAACACTGACTGACTGACTCACCAAACACTGACTGTGACTCACCCACCCAAACACTGACTGACTGACTCACACCCAAACACTGATGACTACCCACCCAAACACTGGATGACTCACCAAACACTGATGACTCACACCACCACTGACTGACTCCACCCACCCCCTGACACTCACCCACCCAAACACTGACTCTACAAACACTGCAGCTCACCCACCCAAACACTGACTGACTGACTCACCCACCCAAACACTGACTGACTGACTCACCCACCCAAACACTGACTGACACTGACTCACCCACCCAAACACTGTGACTGACTCACCCACACCCAAACATGACTGACTACCCATCCAAACACTGACTGACTCACCACCCAAACACTGACGACTCATCCACCAAACACTGACTGACTCACCACCCAAACACTGACTGACTCACCATCAAACTTTGACTGACTCACCCACCCAAACACTGACTGACTCATCCACCCAAACACTGGACTCACCCACCCAAACACTGACTCACCCACAACACTGACTCACCCACCCAAACTGACTGACTCACCCACCCAACTGACTGACTCACCACCAAACACTGACTGACTCACCACCAAACACTGACTGACTCACCCACCCAACACTGATGTCACCCACAAACACACTGACTCCACAAACACTGACTGACTCCACCCAAACACTGACTGACTCACCCACCCAAACACTGACTGACTCAAAACACACTTACGTAGCGTCAACAAGTAGAGATTAGTATGACCTCCGGAAACTGAATTAAGGTTAACTAGATTCAGCTGCTCTCTCTCTCTCTCTCTCTCTCTCTCTCTCTCTCTCTCTCTCTCTCTTCTCTCTCTCTCTCTCTCTCTCTCTCTTCCTTCATGTCATCCATCCACCTTACCTCCTTTTCTTTGCCCTCCTCCTCTGTCCACCTCCTCCTCCCTGATTCTCCTCCCCCTCTTCCTATTCCTCCTTCTCTTCTTCCTCTTCCTCCTTCTCTTCCTCCTCCTCCTCCTTGCAGTAATAAAAAGGGTTGTTATCGCGCACCAGTGAACTGAAGGGAAGGGACGAAGGAGGAGGAGGAAGGAAGGAGGAAGGAGAGGGGGGAGGATGGAGGAAGAGGTGTAGGGGGGACACAATCAGTGCTTAAAGTATTCATGGAGGTTATTGAGAAGTGGAGAGAGAGAGAAAGAAGTACACAAATTGAAAGGGTTAGAATGAAAGTGAGGAGAGCGAGAAAACTAGCCCCCAGTAACCAGACGGTCCTCCGTGAACCATATTGCTGTGAATGTCCCTCAGAGATGACTGTCGGGCCCCGTCGGCTTCTTTGAGTTGAAGAGAGAGAGAGCCAATCAGTATAGGTGTTACGTCACTAGTCCGGGGTGTGGGTGGGTAGGGTTGGGTCGGTAGGGTTGGAGTGGGTAGGGTTAGGTGGGCAGGGTTGGGTGGGCAGGGGTGGGTGGGTAGGGTTGGGTGGGCAGGGGTGGGTGGTCATGGAGTGGAGTGGTCAGGTGTGTTGAACATATGGGCAGCTTGGGAACGGACAGACAGGGGGCGTGGCGTCGTGGGCGGTGTGTGTGTGTGTGTGTGTGTGTGTGTGTGTGTGTGTGTGTGTGTGTGTGTGTGTGTGTGTGTGTGTGTGTGTGTGTGTGTGTGTGTGTGTGTGTGTGTGTGTGTGCACTAGACAAACCAGACAGGTATGTACTGTATATATTTTTCGAGTAAACGTTGAGAATTATTTAGAAAGAAGATGAATGTTTGGGCTGAAATGTTTATACCAAAATAGAAACTAAGAGAGAGAGAGTGTTTGTGTGTTTGTGTCTGTGTTTGTATGTATGTGTCAATATGTTTGTGTCAGTCTGTTTGTGCGTGTCTCACTGTGTGTTTGTAGAGACGACTTTGGCTGGTAACTAAGAGGCGTGATCTACCTGTAGTTAAGTTACCTGGACGTGAGAGTTAATTAACATCTGAAGTGTTTAATTTGGGGGTTTTTTTGCTTCTGGTAACAGTTTAGAGCCTGGGTTGGTAACACTGATCTCTTACGGAAGATAGATAGATAGATAGATAGATGTTCACGTTATTTCATCATGTTCATGGGCAGTGCAGGTGTACAGTGAGGGGAAGCGAGAGTGAGAGAGAGAGAGAGAGAGGCAGAGGTGGATGGGGAAGCGAGAAAGAGGTGGAGAATCAGAAAGAGAGAGAGTGAGGGGAGAAATAGAGAGAATTAAAGATGGGAGAAATGAGAATGGAGGAAACAGAGAGTGAAAGGATAATATAAAGTGGAGAGAGTGAGGGAAAGAGAGAGAGAGAGAGAGAGGGAAGGCACTTGTGACAGTCCAGGGGGTGAGGGAGGAGGCAGGTGGTTAAGGGGAAGAGGGGGAAACTATATCATTCATATTCTCTCTCTCTCTCTCTCTCCTGAAAGGAAGAGAGAGGAAGAAGATATAGAAGAGAGACGGGTGATAGAGATAGAAAGAGAGAGGAGAAGGAAGAGAGAGAGAGAGAGAGAGGAGAGTTACTATTATATAACAAAGGCTGATTCTGTCTGGTTGCCACGTGTGTGTGTGTGTTACTCCTAGTTGTTCCTTTATGTAGTGTGTGTGTGTGTGTGTGTGTGTGTGTGTGTGTGGTAACAGTGTTGGTGATAATTAATAATGCTAGTTGTTATGTTTAGTAGTAGTAGTAGTAATAGTAGTAGTAGTAGTAGTAGTAGTAGTAGTAGTAGTAGTAAGATCATCTAACACCATTCAACATAGTACCACCCTCTTCACACACACACACACACACACACACACACACACACACACACACACACACGGCCATTTTCGACACGTATACATGTAGGTGAGAGGGTAGGGGAAGGGGGGAGGGGTGAGAGAGGGGGAGGGAGGAGGGGGTTAGAGGGGGGGAGAGGTAAGGAGGGGGATATTTGCAGGGGTAAAAATAGACACGGGAGTAGGAAAAGGAGGTGTTTTGGAATGGATGGAGGATTGGCTGGGTGGATGGATGGCTAGGTGGATGGATAGTTGTTTGGATAGATGGGTAGATGATTTGGATAGATGGACGGATGGATAGAGTGGTGGATGGATAGAGTGATAACCTGAACTACGGACAGAGTAAGAGAGAGAGAGAGAGAGAGGTGACACCATCTGGGTCCTGCAGCTGGTGTTGGCCTCTACCACACCAACACCTTCCCTCTTCCTCCCAGGTGGTCCTGACAGCTGGTGGCTTAAGTCCCCCAGGTGGAAAACGGCTGGTTGAAGATATTGGGGAGGTACGATGTAGTGGTTGTGGCAGGAGAGAGTGTGTGTGTGTTTACACCCCCTGCGAGCTGCTCGTCGAGACCAATGACAACCGTTTACCTCCTAACCCAACTTTATAACTGGCCCGTTTACAGCCAATAGGAGGAGACACTGTAAGCTGTTCGCCTTGACCAATAACAACCTTCGACCTCCACGCCCGAGGTTAAAACTGGTTCTTGTTGAATCCAAAACAGTAAACAATGAAATTTACGAATATCCTTCCATAAAATGAATTGAAACTCGAAAATGTGTTTAAATAAATGAATAATGTATTTATATCAATTAAATTTAAAGTAATATATATATATATATATATATATATATATATATATATATATATATATATATATATATATATATATATCTACTTTGCAATTTTTTGGACAGTTGTTATTAAAGAGATGAATTGGATATTGGATACAACATGAAATGACTCGTCAGTACTTTGTCAGATAAATGTCACTGAAATTTGTGTAAATATATGAATCGTAAAGGACAGAAAAAATAAAAACAAAGTAATTGGTAAAAAAAATGGTCATTTGTACATGTATATATGTTTAAACTAATCACTTATCTAATACAAATTAATACAAAATAAATTTACGCTGTTTTTGCTACATTTTAGCTGTGTTTGCTATAATACAGTGTGTGGGGGGGCTGGGCAGGGGTGCTAAACGCTACAATTTAGCGGTCATTAACGCACCAATTTTTGTATTTTTTTGGATATTTTTGGCGCGCCTTCATGACTTGTCCAGTGTTGGGGTCAGCTGACACACACAATATAAACACTAATTGTTTGTTTGCATATTTTTTACGTTCCGGCGCTGTGTTTGTACAGGAGGCGAGTTTATGGTTGTTTGTTTGTTTGGGGGTGACTAATATGTATGTGCTCTCTCTCTCTCTCTCTCTCTCTCTCTCTCTCTCTCTCTCTCTCTCTCTCTCTCTCCTCTCTCTTCCTCTCTCTCTCTCTCTCTCTCTCTCTCTCTCTCTCTCTCTCTCTCTCTCTCTCTCATTGTACCATCTATTCGTGCTGAACAGACGTGACACTGGATGAAATGAAAGAATTAATTATATATATATATATACTATATATATATATATATATATATATATATATATATATATATATATATATATATATATATATACACAAAGAGAGAGAGAGAGAGACCATCTATCTACTCAACTGAATGGCCCTGCAGTCAATCCGCGCCACCCATCCAAGAGCCGCCCACCTCCCTCGCCACCCACCGCCAGACCCTCACCCTCACACCACCCATTCACCCACGAGTTCCCCACCACTCTCACACGTTCACACCCACACCTACCGACCCACCACACCCTCACCCACCACCACACCCTCACACCCACCCACCCACCACCACCTCGCCGCCTACCACCACCCATGGGCGTGAGGTGTGCTGGATATATTCACCACACATAGCTGTCTACCGCAATTTCTTAAAGGAGATCTCCCTTCAGCTTCATGATCCTCCGCCGCCCGCCGCCCGCCGCCCGCCCGCGCCTCTGTGACGGAATGTTATTATGGCACTGGTCAAGGCTGTGTTACGGCGTGGTAATAGTGTGATGGTATGTAACGGTGTTGTGACGGCCAGTGGGCATGTGATTATTAAGGAACTCTGCTGTGAAATAATGGGTGTACGGACCTGTTACTGGGTGTACGGACCTGTAACGGGGTGTATGGACCTGTAACGGGGTGTATGGACTTCGGTGTGGTGGGACTGTAACGGGTGTATGGACCTGTAACGGGTGTATGGACCTGTACGGGTGTAGGACCTGTAACAGGGTGTATGGACCTGTAACGGGGTGTATGGACCTTATGGACCTGTAATGGACCTGTAACGGGGTGTATGGACCTGTAACGGGTGTATGGACCTAACAGGGTGTATGGACCTGTAACAGGGGTGTATGGACCTGTAACGGGGTGTATGGACCTGTAACAGGGTGTATGGACCTGTAACAGGGTGTATGGACCTGTAACAGGGGTGTATGGACCTGTAACAGGGTGTATGGACCTGTAACAGGGTGTATGGACCTGTAACGGGGTGTATGGACCTGTAACGGGGTTTATTAAAGGTGAATATAATAATATTTTAACAACAATTATTACACAAATATTTCTACCAGTCAACATAACCAACACCTAACTCCAGGTTATAGCAGCAGTAAGTGAAACGCGGCAGGAGAATACCGTAGACTTATCGTGTCTTCTCTCTCTCTCTCTCTCTCTCTCTCTCTCTCTCTCTCCTCTCTCTCTCTCTCTCTCTCTCTCTCTCTCTCTCTCTCTCTCTCTCTACCCTGAAATAAGGTCAGCCAATGTTTACACCCTACACCACGCTTGCTAAACAACATCTACTACTTACAATTCACCAAGTTAATAACACACCCATATTTAACATTTTCTCTCGGGAATTCCCTGCGTTAATGAATGTTTATGTGAGCACCTGACGTTCATAATTGTGGTTAGTAATACACCTGACGTTCATAATTGTGGTTAGTAATACACCTGACGTTCATAATTGTGGTTAGTAATACACCTGACGTTCATAAGTGAGATATGTGACTTGTTTTACCTATTGTTCGTCTATCTGACGTTCATTATTGCTGTTTGTTATAGTATATCTAATGTGTTTTAGCATACCTGATTCTAGTGTGACACTTGTGGCTCTGTAACACACCTGTCTTATATATGACACACACACACAAACCTGTCTATAACACACCTGTCTTGGTCAACAGGGAGCGGGAGACCTCCAGGTTCAGAGTGGATGTGACGGTGGCCGAGCAGGACGAGGTCATCTTCTACCTCACCTACGAG